AAATTAAATCAAGTAATCAAAAACCTCCCAATAAATAAAAGTCTAAGGCCAGAGAGCTTCACAGAGGAATTCTATCAAACATTTAAAGAAGAGTTAATGTCTGTTCTTCTCAAACAATTCCAAAAAATAGAAGAGGAAGGAAAATTCCCATTTCATGTTATGAGGCCAGCATAATGCCTGATTCCTAAACCAGAAAAAGACTCCACTAAAAAAGAGAACTACATGCCAATACCCCTGATGAAAATGGATGCAAAAACAATACATTAAAAAAAAATCATTCACCGTGATCAAATAGGATTTATTCCTGGACTGCAAGGGTAGTTTAATATTCACAAATCAATTAATGTGAAATACCATATTAATAAAAGGCTAAGAACCATATGATCCTCTTAATAGATACAGAAAAAATATCTGACAAAGTACTATATCCATTCATGATAAAAACCCTGAACAAAGGAGGTTTAGACGGAACATACCTCAACATAATAATGGCCATCCCTGAAAGATCCACTGCTAATATCATTCTTAATGGGGAAAAACAGAACTTTTCCTCAATAGTCAGGAATAAGACAAGAATGTCCTCTCTCACAACTGTTATTTAACATAGTACTGCAAGTCCTAGCCTCAGCAATCAGAAAACAAAAAGAAATAAAAGGCATCCAAGTCAGCAAGAAAGAAGTAAAACTTTCTCTATTTCCAGATGACATGATACTGTATGTAGAGAATCCTAAAGAGTCCATCAAAAAATTGCTAGAACTGATAAACAAATTCAGTAAAGTTGCAAAATACAAAATCAACATACAGAAATCTGTTGCATTTCTATACATCAATAATGAAGAAGCAGAAAAAGAATATAATTAGTCCCATTTACAACTGCATCAAAAACCATCAGACACCTAGGAATAAACCTAATCAAAGAGGTGAAAGACCTGTACTCTTAAAATTATAAAACACTGATGAAAGTAATTGAAGATGTCACAAAGGAATGGAAAGACATTCCTTGCTCATGGATTGAAATAACAAGTATTGTTAAAATGTCTACATTACCCAAAGCAAACTACACATTTAATGCAATCCCTATCAAAATACCAACAGCATTTTTCACAGAGCTAGAACAAACTATCCTGAAATTTGTATGGAACTACAAAAGACCCTGAAGAGCCGAAGCAATCCAGAAAAAGAAAAACAAAACTGAAGTATCACAATTCTGGACTTCAAGTTATATCACAAAGCTGTAGTCATCAAGAGGGTATGGTACTTGCAGAAAAATAGACACACAGACCAATGAACAAAATAGAAAACCAAGAAATTAAATCACAACTATATGGTCAATTAATCTTCAACCAAGCAGGAAGAAACATCCAATGGGGAAAAGACAGTCTCTTCAACAAATGGTGTTGGGAAAACAAGACAGCAACATGCAAAAGAATGAAACTGGAGTACTTTCTTATACTACACAGAAAAATAAATTCAAAATGGACTAAGGACCTGAATTTGAGACAGGAAACCATTAAAATCCTAGAGAAGAACATAAGCAATAACTTCTTTGACATTGGCCTTAATAACATCTTTCTAGGTATGTTTCCTGAGGCAAGGGAAACAAAAGCAAAAATAAACTAAAGGGAGTACATCAATATCAAAAGCTTTTGCACAGTGAAAGAAACAGTCAACAAAACTAGAAGGCAACCTATGGAATGGGAGAAGATATTTGCTAATTACATATCTGATAAAGGATTAGTATCCAAAATATATAAATTATACAACTCAACACCCTAAGAATGAAGAATCCAATTAAAAAATGGGCAGAAGACATGAATAGACATTTTTCCAAAGAAGACATACAGATAGATGGCCAACAGACACATGAAAAGATGCTCAACATCAAAGATCATTAGGGAAATGCAAATCGAAACTACAGTTAGATATCACCTCACACCAGTTAGATGACAAAAATCAACAGCACAGAAACAATAGGTGTTTCTTGAGCAAGGATGTGGAGAAAGCAAACCCTCTTTGCACTGCTGGTGGGAATGCAAACTGGTACAGCCACTATGGGAAACACTGTGGAGGTTCCTCAAAAAAGTAAGCATAGAAGTACTTTATGATCTAGAAATTACATACTAAGTATTTACCCAAAGAATACAAAAATACGAATTCAAAGGAATTAATGTACCCTAATGTTATAGCAGCATTATTTATAATAGCCAATCTATGGAAACAGCTCGCCATTGAATGATGAATAGATAAAGAAGAAGTGGTCTTGGAATATTACTCAGCCATTAAAAAGAATGAAATCTTGTAATTTGCAAGAGCATAATGCTAAGTGAAATAAGTCAATCTGTGGACAAGAAATACCATATGCTTTTACTTGTGTGTGGAATTTAAGAAACAAAACAAATGAGCAGAGGGGAAAAAAGAGAGAGGCAAGGCAAGAAAGAGACTCTTAACTATAGGTGATGGTTACCAGAATGTGGGGAATGGGAGGATAGGTGAAATAGGTGATGGAGATTAGGGAAAGTACTTGTGATAAGGACTGGGTATTGTGTGAAAGTGTTGAATCGCTATATTATACATCTGAATCTAATGTTACAGTGTATGTTAACTAACTGGGACTTTGTTTAAATAAAAGTTAAATTTAAATATAAACAAAAATCATAACTGAAGATAATTTTCTGAAAAGTTATAGGTAAGGCCATAAAAAAAAAAATTGGTGCCCCTCTAAGTTCAGTGCCTTAGTCTTCTCAAACATTTCAACAACCTCCACATTAAATTATTCAACAAGCTGATTTTTCTTCCTAAATATCTCTCAAGTATTTTTACTACTTTCGTTTCTCTTCCCACTCTAATCCTGAGTTTGTAGACATTTTTGGCCTAAACTATGTAAAATTCCCTTCAATGAACCTATTGTTTCTAGTCCTCATTATTTCAATCCCACCACCCCCAAACTATTATGTTACTATTCTAACACAAAAATTCATTATTTATTTGCCTTAAAGCTCTTGGACGAATTTAAGTTATTTAAGAATAAAGTCCTAAAATTCACTAACATCTGTATAAATCTATATGGCTCACAGGTTCACTTTGATATCTATAAAGAAAACAAAATTATATTAGCTGTATTCCCAGAGAATTTTAAATATCCCTCTAACACAAATTTTTAAATTTCTAGCTGTGGCATCTCTTGTACATGTTCAGTTTTCTGTTACTTTCTGAGGTACTGGGAGACAGGGAGGTTGTCACACATATTTTGGTATCTGTCTGGTTTCAGCCTTATACTAAGCATGTAAAAAATAATTATTGAATTAAATTCGGATGATGTGAGTGCCTGTAAATTATGCCCAGCAAAAAAATGAGCAGTCAGTAACAACAGTGCAAACACAATAATGAATTTAGATAATAAATATATATTTTTCTTTTTGGTTACCTGACTGAACAACAGAGATTTTTAGTAGAACCATGAACAATCTTTTAATACTTACCATCCCTTCAATAACATATATACTAGACTTCAAAAGTTTGATCAGGTTATAGACAATCACGAAGAAAGTTTAAGAACAACATAATTTTCATATGTTAATCCCATCAATTTTCATATAATTTGGCAAAAAAGATAAAAATACTAACTTTAAGATACATAGAAATATTCAAATTAAATAAATATACTATACAACATAGATTGCAACCAAACTAAATGATTAGCCTATAAATACTTCAGTGAAATATGCAGAATTGGCTATTTTTAAAAAGATTTTATTTATTTATCTGATAGAGATCACAAGCAGGCAGAGGCAGGCAGAGAGAGAGAGGAGGAAACAGGCTCTCTGCTGAGCAGAGAGCCCAGTGCGGGGCTCCATCCCAGGACCGTGATATCATGACCTGAGCTGAAGGCAGAGGCTTTAACCCACTGAACCACTCAGGCACCCAGAAGAACTGGCTATTTTTTTTTTTTTTTTTTTTTGACAGATCACAAGCAGGCAGAGAGGCAGGCAGAGAGAGAGAGGAGGAGGAGGCAGGCTCCCCGCCGAGCAGAGAGCCCGATGTGAGGCTCGATCCCAGAACCCTGGGATCATGACCCGAGCCGAAGGCAGAGGCTTTAACCGCTGAGCCACCCAGGCGCCCCAGAACTGGCTATTTTTAAGTTAAGTTCCTTCTGTTATCATTTGTTACCTATACCAATATTTTCTTGATAAATAGACACTAAAATTAGATTCAGGAAAATCATTACATAGGAATATATACATGGCTAGCCTTCTCCATTTCTTTTTATTTTTTCCATTTATAAACTGAGAAAACAATCATTTGATTTTGTGCATAAATATGTAAGGAGTGTATGTAAGGAATGTAAGCCTCAGTGTTCCATGGAAGGAGTACTTAAGAATTGTCTGGCAAAAAAGTCCTTGCAAACTGAAATTATGCAAGTCACAACATGCATATTTATCCAGAAAATTAATGCTCTTACCAAGTTATTCCCTTCCCATGTGTGAATGCCATACAGATGGGAAAAAAAGGTTTACATTTAATCTTTTACTAGCCAGATCATCCTAAGCTAAGTTATACACAATGGAATAAATAAATAATGGGAAAATAAAGTTGTTCTTTCAGGATCATTTCATAGCTGTGATTTCTTTTTCTTTTTTTGGCCTAATACTTAAATTACAAAACAATACTGAGGCGGTAGAACACACAGACACACCCATCCCATATTTACCTTTTCATTTAGTTTCCTAAACCAAAGAGTTTTCTAAGAAACAAAGTTATCTATGATTGAAGAATTTAGATACCTTTTTTTCCCTCTTCGTGCGTGCATGTGTTTGTTTATTTTGACCTGAGGCTAAAATCATAAATTCAGAGGTAGATACGGTTAAAACAGGCAACTGTCTGCTACCAAACATATGGTGAATTACCATTTTCTGTTTTCCTTCCCCACAGTAATTCAGTCATTGTGCCAGAAAACTACGACGTGGACTGTTAACATTGCCAAGGACTTCACCAGCAAATAGCCCATCTGCAGAAGATGCACTTACGACCCTCACGTCATCCCGGAATGCGTTTCCAATCTCCGCGTTTTGAAAAATAAAACTCAAGCCCGCGAGGGAAGCAGGATATTCCGGCGGGTACATCCCCTGGACGGTCTCTCCGCGCAGCGTGCGGTGCGTGGGCGCCCTGGACTGCGACTGCGGCTGCGCGGGCGAGTCCGCCGAGAGGGCGGCGGTGGCCGAAGCAGACGCGCCCCGCCCTCCCCCCCGCCTCTCCTCAGACGGTTCGGACCCTAGCCCCACCCGCCGCGAACGCTGGGCCCCGCGGGAGCCGCGGCCGCCGTTTCACAGCCAACAGCCATCACCGTGGCAAGGCCGGCAGGCCCCGCAATGCTGTCTCTCCTGCTGATCCTCTCAGGCCTGGGCCGGCTGACCTCCAAGGGCCATCGTGAGTGAAGGACCCTGCCCCATAGAGGGCCACCTGTCGCAGAGCCTCTGGGCTTTGGCGGGCCCCAGAACTTTGCTCCAGAACCCCGGGTCCGGCTGGGGAGAGCCCGGTGTCTTGTTAGAGCCGGCTTAGAGTCAGCATCCTGGCCTGCTGCTGATGTACTAAGTCTGACTTTGCGTGCCTGTGTGCGTGTTTGGGGGTGGGCTTGGAAGTTCAAAGAGTGATGGGATGTGACGGGACACGGGAAGAAGGATGCTGCCAGGCACTAGGCAGCGCTCACACACGCTTTCCTTACTGTAGATCTTGAACCATCGCTTCTACAAATTACAGTGCCACGGAAGATTGAGACAAATACCAGTGATGGTGAAGTTTCAGAAACGCAGGTAAGTAAGAAATTACTTTTTAAATTTGTATTTATTTATTTTTGAGACACAGAGAGAGAGAGAGTGTGTGTGTGTGCAAGTGGGGTTAGAGGCAGAGGCAGAGGAAAAGAGAGAATCGGAAGCAGGCTCCCCACTGAGGGAAGAAGATGATGGGGTGGGGGGCGCCTGGGTGGCTCAGTGGGTTGAGCCTCTGCCTTCGGCTCGGGTCATGATCTCAGGGTCCTGGGATCGAGCCCCGCATCGGGCTCTCTGATCAGCGGGGAGCCTGCTTCCGCCCTTCTCTCTGCCTGCATCTCTGCCTACTCGTGCTCTCTCTGTCAAATAAATAAATAAATAAAGAAGTTGATGGGGGGGGGCTCCAACTCTTGAAGGGAAATTATGACTGAGACGAAATCAAGAGTCGGGGGCTTAACCAACTGAGCCATCCAGACATCCTGTGGAAATCACTTTTTTAAAATGAGTGCTTTATTTTTATTGGACTACATGACCCACATCAATTCATGCACATCCCTTTGAAATTTTTTGTTCCAGTTACTGTGTTAAAGAGTCATTTTGTCTCAATGAAAGTAAGAGTTTTGATTTTTCTTTTCATTTTCCAATGAATATTATGAAACATTTTAAAAACTGACTGAGAAAAAAGTACCCCAAATTCCTATCACACAAAATGATATATAGATCTACTGGACTTTTTTCCTAGAAAGTATGTACGTTTAAATATTTATTCTGTGTTTATGAGGTCACACTAATATTGACCTTGTAACATGATTTTTAAAATGACTGTATATAACTTCTTCATGTCTATATTTGCATATATAGGCATATATAACCCTGTTAATGTAGTATTTTTAATCTGGTTAAAAAGTATAGCATGTACATTGTAAAGTTAAATCTAGAGAGCACAAAGAGTTAAGAAAGTGAATGTCTGTCTCGGTTTCTATTTGAACTGAATTTGAACTGAATGAAATTTTAGAGACATGCACTCTCCTACACATATATTTTTAATAATAACATATGAGTGTGCTAATTGGCTTTTAATTTATTTATAAAGTTAGAATTTACTTTTATGATCATAAATACAGCTTTGTCATTATTTTTTATAAGTGCACAATTATCTCATTATATGGCTATAACATCATTCTTTGTCAAATTTAAAAATGTAGTTTTTAAAGATTGTATTTATTTGAGAGAGAGAGAGAGAGAGCGCGCAAGAGCGGAGGAAGGGGTAAAGGAAGGGGCAGAGGGAGGGGGATTAGCAGACTCCCTGATGAGCAAAAAGATTGATGATCCAGGGCTGGATCCCAGGACCTTGGGATGAGGACCTGAACTGAGCAGAAGACAAACACTTAACCCACTGAACCACCCAGGCACCCAAACATGTAGTTTTATAAGACTTCTTGAATAGTCATCTTCATAGGATCAATGGGCAGGTCATTAAAGAAAAATGATAAATATCACAAAATGTCTTTCATGAAAGTTGTGTAAGTTGACTCCCACTAACAAAGAAAAGAATTATGACACTTATTTTCTAGAGGGCTTGCCAAGCTTCATTCAGGCTTCTCATTTCTGTTAATGTGAGCATGAAAATGAATACTTCAGTTTTAACTGGCATTTTTTTTTTTTACTAAGTCTTAAGATAACATGCCTTTATATATATAGCCTATTTGAATCTTTTCTTTCTTGTTAATTTCTTACTGATTTTGCCCCTTTTTATAGGAATTAGAAGTTTTGGTTAGGACACTTTGTTTTCAAGAAAGAAGTGTTAGGGCGCCTGGGTGGCTCAGTGGGTTAAAGCCTCTGCCTTCGGCTCAGGTCATGATCCCAGGGTCCTGGGATCAAGCTCCACTTCCCCCCTCTCTCTGCCTGCCTCTCTGCCTACTTGTGATCTCTGTCTATCAGGGAAAAAAAAAAAAAAAAAAGGAAAAAAAAAAAGAAAAAAGTGTTGATGTAAAGACACACAGGGATCTGATAGGAATCCAAGGATTGGAACCTCAGTGTCCACATCGCAGAGGAGCATTGAATTGCTAACTGGAAAATTGTTAGACACGGGGGCAGGTTTTATAGACTGGGTGGTCTCTTTGCCTTTATGGCACCAAAAAAATCCAGCGATTATGTATTCATAAAAGCCATTATACCAAAAATAAATATCCAGAGAGTTTAAACTGTTTAAAGGAGTATGATATATACTGGGAAAATGCTAATCAAAAGCAAACACAAGTATCCATGAGAAAAGTAGAAAAAAATCAACATTTAGAACACACATCCATACACCATTATGAGGGATAAACATCATTACTTAATAAATATTCAGTTCACTAAGAACATATAAAAATTCTAAATTTGGATATATTTAAAAATGTTCTTGAGGAAATGGATAAGAATAAGTTTTGCAGCAGTCAGACTAGCAATATCCTTGGATTTCCTGGTTCTCATATCTTTTATCGATTGGTATAAATGAGCAGTCAATATAAAAAAATGCTCTCAGCATATATAAGAATTGATTGCACTAGAGGGACAAATTTTCAAATCCACTTTCATATATCTTTCAAAAATGTTGGTTACAAATTCATAAAAGGATTCAGAAAGATAAAGACAATTTGAGCAATAAGATATTTTATTTGATGGATTTATACAGAAGTGAACCCATCACAGTGAATCTATTGTTTTTTCCTCTCTGCTGTTCGCTAGGACTCACTAGACTCTACAGGGTATAACCATGAGGCTTTTTTGTAATGACAAAGCATATGATGCAGCAAGAGAAAGAGAATTCAGGCAAATATCAGGAATTCAAGAAACATCCGTATGAACCCAAACTCTGTGCTTCTGGAACAAGCCAAGTCTCTGCTTGAAGTAACAAGACTTAGTTGGGTGGAGGGCGCCTGGGTGGTTCGGTGGGTTAGGCCGCTGCCTTCATCTCAGGTCATGGTCTCAGGGTCCTGGGATCGAGTCCCGCATCGGGCCCTCTGCTCAGTGGGGAGACTGCTTTCCTTCCTCTCTCTCTGACTGCCTCTCTGCCTACTTGTGATCTCTCTCTGTCAGGTAAATAGGTGAAATCTTAAAAAAAAAAAAAAAAAAAAAAAAAAAAAAGAAGACTTAGTCGTGGAGGGGTGGATTTTGGCTTTTGGAGAACTCCTTAAAAAGCTTTCAGTGACTCTCTCAGTAGCCAAGCCAGCCTCATCAAACTAGGTAGGGAAACACTAAAGAAGCTATCCTTGGCCAAGAGAATTTTTGAACCCTAAAAAGTACCTTACAAATCTCACTGCCTTTGTCTTAGCTGGGAGTCAGAAACATCTAAACATCTAGACAACCCCGAAGTAAAGATAGTGTTTTTCTAATCCAGCTATAATTTGCCTTTATTTCTATAGTTATAATACACATTCTTCTCGGGAATAAGCAGATTATTCAACAAAACTGACAAAAGGAAAAACATTAAAAATCAAATATTGACAATACGGTATCTATAACAATTCAATTAAATCTTTTTTTTAAGGTTTTATTTATTTATTTGATAGAGAGAGAGATCACAATAGGCAGAGCAGCAGGCAGAGAGAGAGGAGGAAGCAGGCTCCCTACTGAGCAGAGAGTCTGATGTGGGGCTCGATCCCAGGACCCTGGGATCATGACCTGAGCCGAAGGCAAAGGCTTAACTCACTGAGCCACCCAGGTGCCTCTCAATTAATTTAAATCTTAAAAAGTTTTAAAAATGTGTATGGGAATATAAAAATACACGTCTACATTATTCATGGATTGAAGAAGAAATCCTCAGTCATAATGTATATTAAGTGATAATGGATGAAATTGAAATTACATCCCCAAAGTTGAGTCATATTCTGAAGATGACATTGAGGCATACTTTATAATTGTTTGCAATTTTGCTAATTTTACTCTTGTTTGTACCCAATAACCAAGATTCAAAATATGTTATGAAGAGAACTGTAGATTAAGAGGAGAAAGAAATAATATCACAATAATTTGGGGAGAAGTTGACACATTTTTGTAAAAGATTTATTTATTTATTTTATAGAACGGGGAGGGACAGAGGGAGAGAGAGTTAAGCAGACTGCACTGAGCGGGGAGCCAGATGTGAGGCTCCATTTCACAACTCAGATCATGACCCTTAGATCATGACCTGAGCCAACATTAAGACCCAGACTCTTAACTAACTATGCCACTCATATGGCCCAATACACTTTTTTCAATAGCTGTAAGCTTGCAGAAGACTGAACATGAGATGTTTAAAATGACTTCTGCAGAAAACAGTACACAATGACAAAATCCACATTCTTTGCAAATGTGGAAAATTTACCCACATTGACCATGTGCTATGCCATGTATGTTTTATGATGATGTCACAGATTGGGTTCTTTAGGATGCAGTCTTTGAGAAGATTCATGTGAAGACTGTTTATTAGGTTATGCTCTTGTGATGAACCTCTGTGGAAGGGGAGGGGAGGAAGGGGGAAGGGGGAG